AAATAATAACAAATATATATATATATTAAAAAAATGCAGCTATATGAGCAGCAGTACTGCATCAGCAAAATGGAGGACAAGAAAAATTACGCATTAGTTAAAGTGGGACAGAAGGAACTTGGTTTGACCTCACATTTAGTGATATGGTAGTAGCTGAAAAACGATGCAAACTTGACCTGAAAATGACAGGTAGATGTGGAGCCTCTGATCCTATTGTATTTATTCAGTTCATTTTTGGAATTAATAGACTTGTTAGATGTGTTTTATGTTAAAACTGAAAATTACAGTAAGAATGATAGATGTCAAAAGACTTTTTGCGTAGTGTGGAGTTGTCATTCCCTTAGTTCTACTTCAGTGTTTCTTTGGTGGATACAAAGTCAGCAGTACTTCCATTTATGCACACAGGTGATGTGGATGGATCTCTTGAAGCTATTCTGAACATTCTGGACAGCTATGATGCTGATGATGAATGTAAATTGGCTATCATTCATTATGGAATGGGAGATATCAGTGAAACTGATATAAGTCTTGCTGAAACATTTAATGGTGAGTGTGTGTTTAAAAATCAATTTACAATTAGTACAAACTCTTTATTGAAATGGGTAGGTCTCATTCTGTTTTCTCAGTAATAATAAGCAGCATCAATAATGTGAACTTACATGTATCTTAAAAACGTTCCCTTTAACACCAAACAGTAGTGTAGGCAGGGAAGGCTAGGAATCTCATGAAAATGGAAGGACTCTTTAACAGGCTGCTGCCATTAGTTGAATTGTTAAGGTTGAACTCTGTGACTCTTCACTCAGGTTGCTTTATGATGCTCAAAGAGGGCAAAGCTAGAAAAGTAGGTTACAAAGGAATGTCCTTTTGCCTAGGGAGGTAATTGGAAGGACTGTCAGTAGTTGTTCCTGTTCATACCCCATAATTCTCACCTGCTGTAGAAAGTGTGGGGTCACTGGACCTGCTATAGTCCATAGGTGGATGAGAAGGATTTCAGAGTTCACTTCCTGCTTAATTTGGACAATCAAACTGTTTTTACAGCTCAAAAATATGAGGTCCTTGTCCTTTACATGAGCTCTGGTGAGCTGTGTGTAAGCATTAGTTTCTGCTTGGATACCTCCAGTTCTGTCATCAGGGGACTTTCTACGAGGGCTTTTTTGAGCCATTTGGTTTGACTCAAGGTTAGTAGCAGGCGATGTGCAATAGTGGAGGTAAATGGTCCCTCCTTAAAAGGGAAGCCGTAGGAAAATGTTTCTTGTATTGCTGACTGCTAATTCTACCCTGTGCTGCAAGTTCAACGTTACCGAATAGACACAGCAGACGCTTTCACTTGCTGTTTAAAGAGTGATCTCTTGTAGTCATCACTTGCCAATGGTTTTATTTATCAGGTGTTGTATTTGGATTCAGCGTGAAAGCCAATGACAGTATTAAACGGCTGGCTGCTAAAAAGGGAATAAAAATTAAGCTTAATAATGTCATCTACAAACTTATTGAAGACTTGAAAGATGAGCTAAACAGCAGACTACCCCCATCTGTGGTGGAGAATACAATAGGTGAGTTTTCATTGACTGTTAAATTTTTGCTTCATGATGTAGCCTAAAGTTTATTCTCCAATGAAGTGCTCTATTGTATCAAATATTTTTGTATTCCCCTGTAGCTGCTTTTCTGTTTTGTTATAAACCTTGGTAAGTGGAAGAGTGTAGCTTGCTTCTACTTATTGCCAGTTTGTTATTCTCCTGTACTTCACACAACTTTTTTCTTTTAGGGGAAGCTTCTGTTCTCAACATCTTCTTTGTAACAGTAGGAAAGAACAAAATTCCAGTAGCTGGATGCAGAGTACAGAAGGGGCTGCTAGACAAAAAAATGAAATTTAAGTTAATCCGTAACGGGGATGTTATTTGGAAAGGTAAGTGTAATTGTCCCAGAACATGTATTTGCATTCACTATTAGACACTGCTAGTTTCCTGTGAAGCTAGTGCAAAATGTCCGCATTTGAGTAGCTTCAACTAGAGAAAGGCTGCAAAATGCCGCTATACTGTTATCCACACCTTTTTCTAACCACCAACTCTGGGAGGAAAGGAGCAGCATCACAGGATTTATCTGCCGAAAAGGACTGATGTCTGACTTTCATTAGCTGCAAGTCCTCACAGTCCCTACGTTTTCTTGCTTTCCTTTTCTAGCTACCAGGTGAAACATTAATTCTGCAAAAAGGTCAAACCAAAACACTTCTATGCTCTGATGTGCTTTGTGCTATCTTTTTGACGCCCTTTCTTTTTGTAGGATCTTTATCATCACTGAAGCATCACAAAGATGATGTCCAGGTAATAAAAACAGGTATGGATTGTGGATTGAGTTTGGACAAGTATATAGAATTCAATATTGGAGATGAAATTATCTGTTATGAAGAAAAAGAAGTTCAACAGACAACTTCCTGGGATCCAGGATTTTAAAATACATTTGAATACATTAAGAGTAAAGGACATGTATTATTCCTGGCTGGCCTTCAACTCTTGACATTAAATGAACTTTCAGAGATGCACACGAGCCTCTTTGTACCTGATGTTTATATAACAATGTCCCGCGTTCACATCTTGTCAAGCAGCCAGCTTACCTCACTGAAACACAGGATAAACTACCACAATTAACTGCAAGCACTTCAAGTGTGTAAAAACCATCACACTATGAACATTTCTGATAGCTATTTATTGGTTCTGAAGTAGCTGAGCCATCTCTTTTCTCCCCCTCAGTTCTGCTATACCATTTTTCAGTATGTAGTCTGCATTTTGTTAGCAGGACTCTTACTAACCTTTTCTGTAGCACTGACCCACCAGTAGACATGACTTTGGACCTCCTGATCTCCTGTTTTTCCAGGTTAGAACAACTGTACTGTCTACTCCTCTCATGTTTGAATACACCACTTCTAAGATTAGCGCGAGTGCTGGTTTGTTTTTGGTTTTTTTTACCCTCTGCCACTGCTACCCATTATCTCCCTTTGAAGGAGACTTTACTAACCAAAGCCACTCTTTAGAAGCTGCTGCTTCAGTTCTAGCGTCAAAGTACTTCACCCTAGTTGGCAGTCAGCATCCAAAGCTTCACAGATGTTTCTCACTTATCAGCAGAGAGGAAATACAGTGCCGCAGGAAGCAGAAATAAATCCTTAAACTGTACAGAACTTCAGGTTTTTATTGTCTAGTACATTTACTTGTCTTCTGGTTTATTGAAGCAGTATGTCAGACAGCACTTGCCACAATAGTGTCTGTCGAAGTGACTAGCCATGAAGACTCCAGCTCCACACTCCTCAGAGGGGCACTCCCGGCGCAGACGACTGATCTTGCCATTCTCATCCACCTGGGAAGGGCAAAGAGGCAACATCTCATATATACTCGCCACCTTTTAGCACAAATTGAGTATTTTAATTTGGTAAAGGAGTTTTTGTGACAGTTACTACATCAAACTTCTTGAAGCCAAGTTCAGAAATGCCCAATTGAAGCATTCAGTTCCTTTTCTATTTAACAGGTGGGATGTTTGCAAATAGAAAGACTTTAGATACGCCAGGCTACACACAGACTAGTTACAGGTTTCACATCCTTCCTGGCAAGAGCCAAGTTTTCATCAAGTTTCTTCTACAGTTAGTTCTACATACCTTGTAGTACTTAAGCACTGCAAGCTTAACCTTCTTTCTCTTATGCTTGTTCTTCTTGGGAGTAGTGTAAGACTTCTTCTTCCTTTTCTTGGCACCACCACGAAGTCTCAGCACAAGGTGAAGAGTTGATTCCTATTCGTAAAGCACATAAAATAGACTCAAAATGCTTTCTCAAGGCAAGAGGAGCATTTAAGCAGGCTTTCTCTTTTATCCACAGAAATCAGATCTCAAGTGCTAGGCACTCAGGAAAGCTCTAAAGGGATTATTTCCTATTAAGCCTGCAACCGAACAGGCTCCAGAGAACAGTGGGCTGCCGCATCCCAAACCCCAGAAGGCTCAGTTACTGCAAAATCTGTTGTGACTATATTCCTCAGTTCTACCTGCAATTGCAGAACAGCTTCATGATGTAACTAATCCAGACGGACAGCTATTTGTAGCTCCTCACTTACTCACTGAGTAGCACTCAGGGTTCATTTGGCAAAAGTGAGTGGGATTTTTCACATTAGCCCCCCTAAAGCAGCTCACTGCAGTGTGACACGTGCCAGGGCTGACAGAAGGGAAACGCTGGAAGTGGAAGCTGTTAGAAATGTTGTCTTTTGACCTGAAACTATAGACTGGGCTGCAACAACTGTTAGTATTTCCCCAGTCGGAAGTGCTACCCAACAGTCAATCAATGGATTTGGTTGAATCCATTTGAAACACTTCTTAGGCTCAGCAGCAATGGTCAGTCTGCTTCGATAGTGCCAGCTGGTTAGTACTACAACGCTCTGTTCAGCCTTTCCTACTCACTTTTTGAATATTGTAGTCAGACAGTGTGCGGCCATCTTCTAGCTGCTTACCGGCAAAAATCAGCCGCTGCTGATCAGGAGGAATGCCTAATGGTGACAGAAATCAAGATTAAATGAGGAACGTGAACTATGACATTCTATAATAAAAATAATAGGTTGCTGCAGACAATCACATCTGCACAAGATATACATCAATCCAAAAGAGAAGAGCGTAGTAAGTGCATCTTGAACTTACCCTCCTTATCCTGGATCTTAGCTTTTACATTTTCTATAGTATCAGAAGGCTCGACCTATTATGAAACAAAACCACGGAGTCAAGACACGCTTTGCTTTTTAATTAGCCCAGAAAAGCAGACCAA